TCTCTCTCTCTCTCTCTCTCTCTCTCTCTCTCTCTCTCTCTCTCTCTCTCTCTCTCTCTCTCTCTCTCTCTCTCTCTCTCTCTCTCTTCAATGAGCGCCACGAGCAGCAATCCTCTGGAGTCTTTGGTGGGACTGAACTGATATTGAGATGGCTGAAACAATGGGTTCCATTCAGCAAATGCTACCGGCTTCCTCTGAATAGAGTTTGTGGTCACTATCTCTGTATGTGGACCTAAAGATGCCCCAAATACAGGCATAATGACCATATGTTCTATCCGCGTGGATATGGTAGCCAGCGTATGTAGGAATGTTCTGCAGAAGTGGTAGAATCCCGACTGATGCTTTGCAAAGCTGTAGTGTTCGGTGCCCTTGATTTGCCGATGCCAGAATGACACTGGTCGGTGCTGGGGCGTAGCCCTGTAACCTGTTTGTAGCAGGGGCTTGAGGCCTGGTAGAGAGGTCTGGGGAGTCGTCGAAGGAGGAAGACAATCCAGTGGCGAACTGGGGGGGGCTGCCATGACAACCTAAGGGGTCGGGTATAGTCTAGGTAGTGAGAACACCTCAGCTATGGCTGGAACTGGTTGGGATGATAGTATTTCGAGTGTTGTGTTTGGTATACGGGGGAAGACTAGGAGTTGGGGCCTCGTTAGACACTCCTTGTGGACCCGAAATCCACAAGGAATTGCTCATTCCACCTGTCCTCGGGGACGATTCTCGACAAAAAAAGTGAAAACAGCACAAGGAAATTTCCTTGTGGCGTCCTTGTGGCTACAACCAATTTTTCCTAAACCCCAAGGGACCTCCCGACGTCCCTCGGAGCATAAGGAAGCGTGAAATTCGGAGCGGCGAAGGCATGCGTCGACGCACAGCTTCGGTTTGAGGGTGGTCCAGACATGGTCCACCGAACGGCGAATGGGAGCACGGACATCCCTGACCTCCAACGTCTGCACGGCAACCCAACGGCTCCAAACGGTCACCGTCCGCATGAGGCCTCCGTCCGTCGAATCGGGCGTCGTCGGCCGGTGTCATACGGTCTGCTGCGCCGGGCGATCGTCGACAACGGTCGGAAATTCGAATGCTTTTCCGCGTCGGCGCCACGTTCAACGACGACAGTTTCATTTCGGAAGATCGTCGTTTGTCGTCACGCCTTGCTCGTCGGAGCACAGATCTTCCCTCTATCTTTCTTCTGTCGACGGAGTTCTTCGCTGGACGGTCGACCGCTGACGTGGGGTTGTTGCCCTTTCCACGGCCCTCACATGGCTGACCTGCTGCACAGGTTGCCTCTGCTACTCCTCGTCGTCGTGCTGCTTCTCATCGTTGTCTTCTTCCACGTATGTTTCGTCGGCCTGCTCCTTGTCGCGACTTGCAAAAGGAGATCTTCCAAGAACGACTACATGATGGATCGTCGTGTGTTTCGTTCACTGCGCACGTGTACAGTGTGTCGCTCCTACATGTAGACGACCGACGTTTTTGGTCGTTCACTTTGGCAGGGGTGCTTTTGTGACTTCGATCGTCGTTGTTTGTGGATTTGGTTAGTGTGTCGGTGCTGCGAGTAGACGAGTGATGTTTTACGGCGTTCACTTCAGCATGTTGTAGGAGGGTTTTCAATTTCTGTTATCGTATTGTGTGTTGTTGTTAGCGCAGCTTGCTGCGAATGGACATGATTGTGCTTGGAGCGCATCTTTAATTTTTTAATCATGCGCCCGCTGTTTTCGTCACTTCGCTGGCATGACTGAATAGTGATTCGTCTGTTTGATTAGTCGTTCTGATTAATCATGAATAGTCGTTCGATTGTTGGATCTGCATGCACACATTTCGTCGTGTTTTCCTGATGTCATTGTCGCTCTTTTTTTTTTTTTTTTCAGTTTTCCCAATGCCACCCAAAAACCGTGTTTGATTCTCATTTCAACATTCGCAGGAAGACAATGCGCACAACCCCATAGAGCATACGATGTCCAAGAACACATGTTGTCATTTTTGTGAAGATGTAATGGCACAATGTATCTTCGCCCGCATTGATCATCGTATTCAAATAGCAACACAAAGAATAACAACACATACTAACAATCGACGATTTGAACATTGGAAGGAAATTACGAAATCGTGCAACATTTCATTAAAAAGACAAGTAAATGTAACGCAGGGGCGACAAGTTTCAGCCCCACCCGCATGACCAACCCTGCTCTTTTTTCAACACAGCACCCGCTGTTAAAAAAAAAACGGCGCACATGACACCCGCAGCGTGTCGTATCCCCACTACACAAACATGCAGTTCGTGAAAACTAGACTGAAACGAAAGTTCATTTTGCCAGATTTTGCGATACGGTTTTTGATGAATTAGTTTTGAGGGCAAGATTTAGATCTTAGGTGTATGGGTCACAACAAGACAGGTAAAAAACAGGTTTTCAAGAAAACGTATTTAACCCTACGGTCAATGTCTCACGACAATATACTAAAATCCAAGTTTTTTTCACATTGAATAAATTCAAAGAAGCCATGTCAATAATATAACAGTTTTGCAGAAAATTTGAGGTTAGCGCCACAAGCATAGTTGGGGCAAAGAGCCAATTCCTAATTGCCATCACCAAGTCTGTGTCCACAAAAACAGGCAAAGAAAGTTTCATTGCATGTACGAAGTGCAACAACCATCACATTGCAAGTCCCAATAGTAAGGCAGAAAACCCACAACTATCCAAGCATACCCAAGAGAAGCAAGTGGGCAGGTTCCCATGTACTCAGCAACATTGGTGGACGAAGCTCAAACATTGAAAGTGGTTAATGTCCCAAGAGAGCCTATAGAAAATATGTGGCCCATAAAAGCACCAAAGCAACAAGGCCACAACCAAGTCATCAAACCTATGCGAGGCGAATGGAAGGTCCCTATCAACTCATGCATTCCTGAAGCCTCAGGCGTGTCTCCAACCCTCAGACACTGTGCGACTCTGGCTGTCCTTCTCCTTCGTGGCGCTCTCCACAAAGCCTCTCCCTGCCAACCTTGCCCTGATGCCCCTCACACAACGCAAATCACTTTCAACAACCAGCACATTTTGTTTGCACAACAGTGCTGCAATGGCTCCAGTCCCCGATCCAGAAAAAAACATCAACTATGTATGAGTCATTCGGGTAAGAAAACTTCTAGATGAGCCACTCATACAAGGAGATAGGTTTCTGGTAGGGACACAAAATCTCATTGTCTGCAGCAAAAGTGTACTTCCCCACCACCGCATTGTGACTCCAGCAGGTCATCCTCGTGTCAGAGTCGCTGAACTGGAACTGAATGGGCTCCCTGGAACCGCTCTGGCTGTTGTAGAAACCAAGAACACAATGCTGCTAGTAGTTCGTGAGCTTGAGACATGCACAAGTACTAATGTTGGGAGCAACCCAAATGCCCACCTCCACCCCACAATTGCAAGCATATGAAAATGTAGATTTCACGTCATCAAGCATGTCAGAGGAGCAGAAACCAGCAATGACCCAATATGGTGCACACGTGATCTTCTTGAAACTCGCAAAGCTGCCCTCTACCTGAGGCCTACTGAACGGCTCCTGATCATCCACAGAACCCTCTGCGTTGTAGCCGCATGGGAAGTCCATAATGCACAAGGTGAAGGGGAGTTTGTCCTCCATTTTCTCTGGTAGCTGGAGCATGTCGCAGTGCGCCACCTTCACAGTTCCCTTGTAGCCCTCCCCCTCAAAAGCAGTCCAGTCTGTGAGAAGGCCCTCAGGATCTTGTGTTGCTGCTGTCTGCTCCTCTTGCTGTGAATGTTGCAACTTGTCCCTGTAGTTGAGGGCCTTGGCAATCTACAACTGCCTAGCAAGAGGAGTTTCCTTGACATTCCTCTCATACAACTTATAGTACTGAGACAGCATAGCCTCTTGCGTATGCACAGGGAACTCCTCCTTGGCAGCCTCCCAACTGCCTGCCCCTACCCCTCCACGAATGTCGCAGCTGTTCTCTGACGAACCTTAAGAAGCGTGAACTTGTGGTTCATCTCGTCAAGCGACAGGACCCCACTCCTAACTTCTGTGAGGATTGGGACCACCAGAGCATCATCGAGCGCAGCCATCCCCAGCAGAGGCTTGTAAGGCATATCTGCAGGTTCACTCACTATCTCATTCTTTTTAGAAACATACATCAGAGGATTGAGTGCCATGAGAGAAAGGCGCTCCTGACAAACATCTTTCTTTTTTTTTTTCACTGGTCTTCCACCCTTTTTCCCCTTCCCTGTGTCACTGCCAGATGCACTCGACTCAGCAACCTCAAAAGGCTTGACCTTCTTACCACTCGTGCCCTTCTTCATCTTCACATCTTTGATTTTTGCCTCCTCCCACAAAGTGAAAATATCAGACAGCAAAGTTCAAACTTGTGGCCCTCTCATGCAAATTTGAAGCTAAGGTCCTGAGGATCCCAGGGACCAATCTGGTTCCATGAAAAAGTCGGGATACCAAGCGCGTCCAAACATGCCCTTTTGGCCTCATTCGATTTTGTCACACCCCATCCTTTCGAAAACATCCCTCCAGCAGCGCATCCTCTGTACTAAAGTCAACTTCTTGTGATAACCTGCTGCAATGTTATGCTCATGACCAACCAGCAGCGACTCCTCAACAGTAAGTCCCACGTACACATAGCAAACATACCTCTTATAGAAGTCAACGTGAGGGTGCTTCACCATCAAACGGCTGCGTGCCTCACGACAATGACCGCCGCCCAAAATTCAAATGGTGTAGCCCCCTGACCGCAACTTCTGCACATCCACCTGATCAACTGCTGTACACTCAGTTGGGTCAATCATGCCCACAAAAGGCAAGTGGTCCCCACAGGGCGCCCTCTCCATAGACGCCATGAGGACCCTGACGTGGTACTCTGCGGGGAATCTGACCTCCCTTGATCTCCGACCGTCGGGAGTGTCCACAGGAGGTCGGATCATGCTGGACATTGGCAAGCTCAAAATGTCCTCAGTTACCTTCTTCGCATTCAAGGAGACCAGCCTGCTCCACATCCTCTCAAGAGGTGTCCCACCCGCAGACTCTGGTTCAAGATCCGCCGCAGCAGTGGCCTTGTCTGCGGATTTCTTCCCTTTCCCACCAGAACCCCCACTTCCCTTGCGCGCCCTCTTGACTCGCCCTTCTGGGCTGCGCTCTTCTGCAGCAGAACGCCTAGTCACAACTTTCTTCCTCTTTTGCGACTGCTGTTGTTGTTGTTGCCCTGGGGACTGTGCAGGGTGCCGCCTCGGCGCAACCATATTTGTGTTCAGAACAATCGAGGGTTGCCGACGAGAGGGTCCCTCTTGAGATTGCATGTGCGAAGCAGTTCTACTGCTCTCTGCAGGTCGCAGCTGGGACACCATCGGTATCTGCTGAACGGAAGGAGGACCACGAACAGGCATTTCTGAAGAAGACGAGAAGCCAACGCCAACCGAGTGTGAGACATCATGAGGAGCGCCCATCTGTGAAAAAGGGTGGTAGACACCACCACCAGACAAAGGTGGCTTAGGTGGGAGGGGTGAAGACTGAACGCCCCCAATAACCGTGCGGTTTGCCATGAAAGTAGTATAATAGAAACAAATGTACGCACTAAGCGTATCGCAGAACAACTGCCACAGAGTAAGAGAAAACAAAAGACAAGCAGCCCATGAGAAACACCAAGCGACAACTGCAAACAATCGATGACAGATCCGCTAACATCACGATTTATCTCGCTGAACTCGTTGATTGACAACTGTCGTGCTTGAGTGCTTGACTGACATGTTCGGTGGTTGGTCAACAGGGTGC